TAAATGAAAATTAATGTATCAGGAAATACTTCAAAATTGAATACAATGGGAATAGATAAACTTAAGAAGTCTATGTAGTAAAAGCAGCAATATTACGGTTAAGAATAAATGGTACAAAAGAATACAGACTGACCACATCTGTGACCAGTATGAAAGAAACATGTTGTGATGATTTCTTCATGTAGAGAGACTATCAAATTTCAAAACAATAGATAGATAGATAGATAGATAGATAGATAGATAGATAGATAGATAGATAGATAGATAGATAGATAGATACAGATATATAGATATAGATAAAATGAACTGGTTGAAAGAATAAAGTGATGATTGGATGAAACTGATGAGATCTGCAGAAAGAGAAGTGAGAATTTTAAAAATATATAATGTTGAATAAACAAAGAACGCTTGCACAGAATGTATAGTAAGATATATTAAATCGGCTTGACCAATAGGTACAAATGTTTGTTCATTTATTATTTTGTGCACTAAAGTAACAGAGTTGGAATATTTTCAAACTTGTTAGCTTTAATTCTTCTAATGTTGTCTTTATCAGTGCACATTTTAATGCAAAAAAATTGCTTTTAAAATTTTCCAGTATTAAGTCATTCAAAAAATACAAGTACTGAAAGGCCTTCTTTCAAAAATATGCAAAAGCACACTTTATTAATTATCAAGCGTCAAGAGTTAATTTAAATGTGGGCCATAATTTGGATCTTTTTGACACAAACATAATGTGTAAAGACAAAAGAATGGGCAACACTATAAAATAGTATCCCAATTACAAATCATAGTCATCCTACAAGTTAATTCCCAGCAATAACTTTTAGGTGAAGCTTTTAAAATCCAAATTACTTGGGATTACAGTATATACTGTGGTATCTTTTATAATAGCATTGCTAATAGTATAATATAAATAGTAATATCGAAGGTGTTGGAAGGATTCAAGGCTTTGAAAATGATGAAGGCAGCATCATGCTGAAGCTCCATCCCCTTTGTACCTCCATATATCATGGTATACAAAATAGATGGAATGTACTGTGTTTGTCATGTGCCCTTTGGCAGATGACTTTTAAAGATTAATAGCATGTTATGCCATAATGCCATCCCCACTCCTTCTAAGACATCTAGTTTACCATGATCCTCACAGAAAGTGGCCAACAGAGATCAGCCAATGCAGTCTTTTTGGATAAAGGAATGATCATGAGAGTAAGTAGAATTTAGGAATGGAGATTTTTTAAGTCAGCTCATGAATTGAGTGGCTGAGAACTGCAGGAATTCAACCAAGCATACAACCTAATATAGAGACAAAGTTCAGCAGAGCCTCGTTCCTTAACCACTTTTGGATGTCATTAATTTAAAGCTAGGTATTTTTTAGGCAGCAGAATAAGAGAATTGCACTGTGTTTTAATTATTTCTACATTACAAAGAAATAGGAGAAAAAAGTTTTAAGGATTAAAAAAAAAATTCTGACAAAAAGCTTAACCAGGAACAGATGTAAAAAAGTAAAATAAATGATAAAGGGGGACAGTTATTTTGAAATATTTTTTTTGTTAAATACTTTTGAATAAACTAGAATTAATTTAGACAAATGAACCAGGTCTTTTTGGAAATGTTTTTTGTTTATTATTAAAGGGAACAGGCATTGGCAGATTTTACAAAACAGAAGTTAAAGGGTAATATGAGTCAGATTGAGATATTGGCTGTAACTATGGGGATATGGATTGTGATGCTCACTGTAACTATGGTGTGCCATTAGGGATGAAAATATTAAAGAAAAAAAGCTTGAAAAAGAATTAAAGGGAGAAGCTTGCCTTTTTTCTCTCTCCCTTGTTCAAGATAATTTTCTTTTTGAATTAAATATAATGACAACCAGAAGAATAGCAAAAATGGAGGGGAAGGGAGTATTGTTAGAACAATCAGCAAAAAAAAAAGGAATTAACATTGGATTTGCTTCCATAGTTCTTTAAGGATTTGGGTAATAAATTAGCTGAATCACTTGATAATAAATTGAGGGATTTTGAAAAAATATTTGTAAAGATGAAAGTGGAGATGAAAGAGGAAGTTAAGATGGAAAGCTCTGAAAACAAGTGTTTGGAGAGGTAAAACAAGTTAATGAGAAAGTAAATTTTTTAGAGAGTATGACAGATAAAGTTGAAAAAAGAACTAGATAATTTAGTTTTAATGGAACTGAGAGAGAATGAATTTGTTTGAGACTTAGAGCAATCCCAAAGGATTCTGATGAATACATTAGAGAAAAGTTCATTAAAGCCTACAGCCTTAGAATTTTTTTGGATTGGAAAGAAGAGGATCAGAAAATTGATGAAGTATTTAGAATAAATTCCAGATTTGTGAGAACACAAAAAGTTCCAAAGGATCTTTTGATGCACTTTGTCAAGCAGAAAAATGGTCAATTTTACAACAGCGTTTTAATATAAGATGGAAGATTGATAATACACAGATAATTGTTCTTTAAAAAATTATTATTAAAATTTTGCATAAAAGAAAAGAGTTTGGATTTAATTCTTTTTGGCTAAGAAAGACTTCAAAGCAGAAAAAGACATCATTCACAGGGGTCAAATTGTGAGGTGTAATCTTTACTTTTAAACAGCAGAGTTCTTGACTGAATTTTGTTCAGAAGGCAAGGCAATTTTTAGAAAATTTCAAAGAGGAATTGGACGAGATCCAAACAGAGGTATCAGTGGAGACTATAGGTAGTACTTCACTTACAACAGTTCATTTAGTGACTGTTGGAAATAATGAAGGCAATGAAAAAAGTGACTTATGGCCATTTTTCAGACGACAGTTGCAGCATCCCCATAATCACGTGTGCAAAATTCAGATGCTTGGCAACTGACTCCCATTTATGATGGTTGAGTATCTAGAGATCAGGTGATCACCTTTTGCCACCTTCTGACAATCAAAGTCAACGCACCAATATTTACTTAACAACTTTGTTATTAACTTAACAATTGTTGTGATTCACTTAAAACGCTGACAGAAAAGTAAAATGGGGCAATATATACTTAAGAAATGTATTATTTAGCAACAGAAATTTTAGGCTCAATTGTGATTGTAAGACGAGGACTAACTGTACAGAAAAAGTCTAATAGTTATATCAAGAAACTGAAAGGGATGATACTGAATTAAGTGCTACAGTATCTATTTTTTAATATGTTTTGCTTGATAATGGATTATAAATACTTAGCATGGAATATAAATGGAACAAATGTATCTCAAACGTGTAATGTAATGTGGAACCTTGGGGAAGGGGAGATGCTGTCCAGGAAACAATCATAAAAAGAAGCAGGGACACACACACACACACACGCGCGCACGCACACACACACACACACACACACACACGCACAGCTTAAACGTCAGAGAAAGAGAAAGAATCTTAGAAAGGGTTCACCCTAATGCATCAAGCAGTTGAAAGAGGTAGCAGGAAGTTTTATACTTTTAGATTTGCAAGATTCACATCAGCCCTTCTAAGTATATCAAACAGGAAACAAGATTAAATGAGCTAAATCTATAAGACTATCTTAACACAATCTAGTCATCTAGATGAAATAGGCAGTGTAGAAATTGGACAAACAAAATAAATGGTAAATTTGTTGCGGTGGATGAAAATTAATTTGCACAGGACTAAGATATTGATATTGGAAATTTATGCCCCAAATGAAGAAAAAGTATTTTTTTTTTAATAAAGGAGACGATTTTTTTCCTATTGATTGATGAGGGAACCGGAATGAAGTCATCTCTCCACAACTGGACAGAATTTCTGAGAAAAATATTAAAATTACTCAAGGCAAATTACCAAAAGTTTTGTTTGATCTGATGGACAATTTAGGGCTCATTGATACAGGGAGACAGAAAAATGGTAACACAACAGTGTATACTTGCTTTCCTGAAAGAGATACTTATTTCAAGAGTAGACGTGATTTGGATTTCAAAGAATTTGGCCACTAAGATTTCCAAAGTAAAAATATTACCAATATCTTTCAGTCATAATCCTGTGAGTTTGATGTATAAAAGAAAATTAATTCTTTCAGATGGAAACTGAATGCAATGTTACATCAAGAAGCGATAGTGGAGGATTATAAAAAGATATTAAAAGATTTTTTGAAAATAATTTAGATAAAGGCACTGGTTTAAGAATGGTCTCGGATGCAAATAAAACTTTTATTGAAAGTTATTTTATACAAAATACTAATGAACTACAAGCTATTCTGGATGAAATAAAAAGAAGTAAAAAAATCTCGAGAGAACATAAAACATTTCTCAATAAATTAAGCTAGTACAACAGCTATTATATTTATTAAGAAAAAATGGAAATAAAAATGAATTATAAAAAGTTTAAAAATGAATTTGCAAATAAACCAGGGAAGTGATTAGCATATAAAATACAAAAAGAAAAAGGTATTGAAATTATAATAGAAAGATACTGTATTAATAGACAGTATGGCAATACAAAAACATTCCATCAATATTATTCCAATTTATACAAGGAAATGCCATTTCATCAGAGAAAATAGATAAATACCTAAATTAACAAACTTTATAGAGGATTAATGAGGAACAAGGATAGAGCATGAAGGATCTACAACAAAATGGAAGCTTCTAAAGCAATAAAAAGAAATTAAGATTAATTAAATCTTAAAAAAATCTTAAATTAAAGAAAGGTACCTGGACCAGATAGATTATCAGGTTCTTGTTAGAATGTTTTGAGGATGAATTTTACAACCTTTCAAAAGAAGATGAATTCTATCTTCTAGGGGGGAAAGAAGTCAAAGAGTTGAATACAGAGTAAGCTGCAGTTATTTCAATAGAGAAAAGGAGATCGAACTCCGTATCATATAAAACAGTAAATCTTATTTTAGGAATACTGTAAAATATAATAATATTTATCCCGCATCCTGTTTGAAACTAAGTAAAAGCTTGTAAGGTAATTCTAAAATGTAATTATAACATTTTATATAACAATCTGCTGCAATTCATTTACTGTAAATTGTATTTATTTCTCTTGCACAATTATTTTCCAATGTGAAAAGTCTTCAAGTGAACTCATCTCAGGAAAATAGTTTAATACCACACGCACACGCAACCAATTAGGATTAACAAATGCCCCTCATAAGAAATTGTTGCTTGAAATAATCTGCATTATTTAGCTTCAAACTTTGCCTTGAAGATACATACTAAATGTTTACCTCAGTTCCTTTAAAAACAAGGATTTCTAAATCCTTATTGCAGCTTAATCTTCAGGAATTTGGGGAAAGTTTTCTCTTTATTTTGTTGGTTCTTGCTTTTCACTTACAACTTCTGCATACTTATGGAAAACGCTTCCTCCTTGACCAGGCAAATTCTTTTTAGTTGAATAAAGCACATTAGGGAGTAGCCCAATGCAACCTGGGGTTTAGTATCTGAAGAATATATATATGAACTTTTTCAGAATTGTTTTTCCAAGGAGTGATGAACTAATCATATTTTAATTTAAAATATATCTATTTTTCACCATCAAAAAGTTTGTCTGAAAAGTTTATTTGAAACTTTCTGAACACTTAAAGCAACATTGCTTTAGATATTATGAAAGTGTCCAGAGAGAACTAAACAAAATCAAACTCTTATAAATTACAAGGTTTTTTTTGCTTTTGAAAGAGCTTAAGTAAACAGAAAACATGAAATACGTACTGCAAGGAAATCCTCAACATTTCATGCAAGAGCAGGCAAGATGTAAAAAGCCACCTAAATTCACATATTTATACACTGAATCATCAGGAAAAAAGTATTCTTTAGTAAATCTGTACATCCAAATACACTTGGGAGCTACATCTAAGTTACATCATTTAATGTTTCATACACTTGTTACCCTTTTAAATCATCAAGTAAACATTCCAAACTGGGGGTGGGCTGGTGAAAAGAAAGAAAGAGAAGGAGGGGGGAGGGAAGAAGGAAGGAAGGGAGGAATCACTGTAGACATTCATTGTTTTTAAATCTAGACCTCCATGTGTTGAGTGCTTCATCTTCATATATTTTGCTTCTTGGCATTTAAAAATTGCAGTGCAGAAAACTCCACCTTTATTATTAGTTACGTTTCTTTGGATGGGTTTCAGGTATACTGTAGTTCAATATACTTTTTGTAATGAACAAATGGAAACTTGGTCCTATTAAACTGAGAATGCATGCAAATATTTGACTTTAAAAAAAAACCAAATGCATGTATATTTTATAATAGGTAACATTGCAAATTATTCAGGTAGCACCCGTGTTTCTTCACCCTATCAAATAACACTAAAGTTGAAGGGAAGAAATCTTTCCAGAACAGTTATTTTTTGTACCAATAACTTACTAGAAACCTCTAAGAACCATCTGTTTCACTTTCCTTTAGAACTGAATGGAACAAATAGTTAAATACAGTTTGTCCTCTTCACTGAAGAGAGCTAGTCTATTCATCTTTATGAGCTAATTTTGGGAAGATAAGCATGTACTGTGGAAATGCCTACTGAATATAATCCACACATTTGCTGAGAACATTTGGAAAAAGTCAGTAAGAACCTAGGATCAATGAAAACGGATGTTGCTTTAAATGATCCACAAGAAAGAGACCCACAGAGTGCCCAGTGCCACGCACACAATTTTTCCTGCGCTTTTTGGTGTGCAAGTTATATAATCTTTTCCCACCCCACACCCTAAAATGTTAACTGTTCCAGTTTTCAGTTCTTTTAGTCAATTTTCACATTCGTGTAGATTTTTCGAACAAAGGCACTTGTTCCCATATAGCCAATTGCTCCTGCAAAATAAATAAATAAATAAATAAATGTATGTATATAATTTGTATTTTTAATTTATATATAATAAAACTTTGACATATTTTCTAGAGTAACTTTTAAAAGCAGGGTTCACTATTGAGTGAACTATTAATAGGACAACTGAACAACAACAAAAAAGATGATGTGCAATCTTTTAAATTTCAACAAGATGATCTACCTAAAATTCAGCTAACCTATTAGTACTGTTTTGTTGTATTCTGTATTCAGCCTGGACTGAGAATTTCTGCTAATTTGACACATTATGCTCAATCTTATATTATGCATGCTGCTACATACCAAATATGTGCCTCTTCAAATGTATGGAAACACTGCATTTAAAAATGTAATGAAATCAGAATTGGTACTGTGTTTCCCCGAAAATAAGACAAGGTCTTATTTTCTTTTGACCCCCAAAATAAGTACTTGGCCTTATTTTCGGGGAGGTCTTATTATTTTTGAGGTGCAGGAGGCTCCTTAACCTTGGCCCTTGACCCGTGGATCAGCTGATCCAGAGGGGGCTGCAAGTTCTGTCTCTGTTTCTGGCACACTCTTGCCAGACCTAGTATCGCTGGGCCTGCCACTCTTTTTGCGGCTGCCATTAAGAAAAGGGGCACAGTAGCTAGGGTTTGTGGGAGCGGCCTCCCTGAGGCTATTCCGCATGGATAGCAGGTGCATGTGGGACGCGTGGGGCAGGTTCCCCCCTTCCTCCCAGGAAATGGCAGGGACCAGCTGCACATGCGTTTAAATATTTTTGGGGAGGGCTTATTTCGGGGGTTGGCTTATTTTAGTGCATGCGCTCAAAAGCCCAACTGCTCTTATTATCCAGGAAGGTCTTATTTTCAGGAAAACAGGGTAGGAACTCTGAGCTCTCACATGGCAAATATATTCAAGATCCCATTTCTCTTAAGCAGTAGCTTTTCTGCAGCTTTTATTTCTTTATATATGAAAGATTCTATGTTATACCAGGTAAGTGACAGAACTGGTTACACATAGCATGTGCAGTTGCAAAAATACTCACAGAACCTAACAGTAATTAACAGAATCAAACTGGGAGAGGGCATTTAGGCTACCAATTCCAATTCTCTGCTCAGTGCAGCATTCTAAATTAAAGCATCTCAACATAAGAGTCTCCAACTCCTGAACACATCTAGTGCTCCTATAAACTGTATTTTTAAAGAACCAGTGTAGCTCACAGAACAGCAATATCACATGGGCTACACTTGGGATCCTTAGAACTGTTGTATCTATGTTTTGAAAATAATTGAAACATTTTGCTGGCGCTAAAAGATATGCTTATTTGTGTCCACAATTGCAGAATTCAAGATATACTGTACTGTTTTTTAAACTACCACAATGTTTGCTTCTGTATTTTGTGAAAAAGCTCAGGGTTCAACAAGGGGAAAATATATGGCAGTGTTTTGCTGAGCAAAGTCATGTTATGTAACCTAACCCAAACGTCTATGGAAAGTAAAGCAAAGGAAGAATCATCTAGGAAATTTTATATTAGACCAGAAAAATGTAGTTCAAGAAGCAATCAGTTCAGATACTTCCAGCTTGCAGAGATCATACATACAGTGGTTTTTTTTTAATGGCTTCCTTCATTTTTCTTTTACTTGTCTACCTCATTTTTCCCCCTTCTACTTTCTAACCTCTTCTGGTTTATTTTTGCTCATTGAACTGGAGGACAGAACAGGGTGATAAAGATTAATTGGCTTTTTTTCTCTTCCCCCACCTTCCATTTACACTCCAACCTTTATTTCCTCTTGCCTAATCATCCTCTTTATCTTTATACAAATATGTTACTATGTGAAGCCACACAACTACAGAGATATTTCTAAGGAAAGCTGGAAGAAGGTAGAAAGAAATATCTGTGACTAAGTAATAAGAGAATTGTATAAGAAAGTGTTTGCGCTTACAGTTGAGAGAACAATTGGTTCTGTAGTTGGATGCCTTAATTTATATGCAATTAATTCTAAATCTAATAATTCATTTCATTTCTGGCCTTGCCCTTGCTTATTTTTGAGAGCATCCCTAACATTCAAATACCTGTACTATCCTCAGCATGTGCTTCCACTTTAAAATTTACGCCTAAAAATGAATTCCTATAAAGATATATATAACTCGCTATTACTTATGTAACAATATATCTATTGAAATAAAATTTTTTATAGCTGACAATTCTTTAATATATTCAGAAAACTAAGAATATATTTGCAAAAATACATTAAGTAGTTTAAAAGGATACAATTTGAGAACTAAAAATTTTGAAACCATTGTGATCTTACCACACATTATTCCTAGGGCTGTGCTAAATACTGCCATATAACCAAAGTAAAAAGATGTCTGAAACAAACCATACATCCTGGAGAAAAAAAACAGAAAATAAAACAAATTTTAACATTCCCGAAATTATGAATGACAAAGTACTGTGTTTTCCCGAAAATACGACCTGTCCTGAAACTAAGGCCTTGCCACATTTTTCTGGTGGGCAAAAATATAAGCCCTCCCCCGCAAATAAACCCCCTGGACAACCCCCCACCTCCAGCCAGGCAGAGCACCACTCATCAGCCTAGCGGTATCCCAAAGGTGCTAAGCAGTGGCTGCTCTGGTCGTAGACTCTATGGCTGTACGCTCTGGGAGTATGCTCTGGGAGTATGCTCTGGGAGTAGCCGATTCACAACCATAGAGCATATGCCCAGAGCGGCCACTGCCGGAAGACTCAGTTTGGAAGCCACCAGAAAAAGCCATGCTGGGATGGCAGCAGCAGTAGCGGAGGTGCTCTGGTTCTGCGGGGAGAGCTGTGCCAGGGCATCATGAGGCTAGGAACAGCCGCTCACGCAACCCCCCTCTCCAGCCATGCAGAGCGCCTTTCACTAGCATTTCGAAGGCGCCAAGTCACGAGAGTCAGGCAGCGGAAAACAGGCGCTCATGCGGCTTGGTGATATCCCTAGGTCAGTGAATGGTGCTGTGCCCAGCTGGAAAGGGGGTTTGCCGGGTGGC